GCAGCCCCGAGCAGACCCGGCAGTCTAACTGCACAGCGAGCTCAGACCCGTTCTCAGGCACCTCTTAGGTCCCACGCTACCTTAGCCTTGCAGCCTTGGCCCCAGCCTGGCAGGATTCCCAGTCCCGGGACCCAGAGGGAGTGGGGCCGCATCAGCCACCATGACGAGCCGTCCCATGTGTCTGTTCCTACCCCCCAAGAAAAGGCAGAACCAGGGCCTGCAGGAGCAGCTGGGGGCCCTCCTGGGGCCAGGGCACCAGTTCCTGCCCCTGTGCCCTGAACACTCGGGCTGCACGCTTTTGGCCTGGGTAAGTCGAGGATGGGCTGTGGATGGCTGTCAGGAATGACCGGTGACCTCGTGCTAACCTTCAGCTCCTCCACAGCCTCCTGAGCCAGCCAGGGCCTGCTCCCTGGAGGACAAGGGGCCCCTACAGGTGCTTCGGCGGGAGGTGTGCCAGGGGGAGGAGGCTTTTATGCAACACTCCCAGGTGAGCTCTGGGCCTGGGAGCAAGGACCGCAAGAGAGACAGTGAGGGACAAGGAAGGAACACGGGGGGTCATCTCAGCTCTGACCACCCCCACTCAGCTCTCTCATTCTCCCCAGAACGAGCTGCAGCAGATCCGCCTGTCCTTTGAGAGGAAGAAGATGGCCATCACCGAGGTGCCCACCTTGCCTGGCCTGGCCTGGGGCGGAAGGTGGGCCCCACCTGGTATAGGCACAAACATGGGTCTGTCTCCCCCAGGCTGAGACCCTGCCTCTCCCCTACCAGGTATGGGATGGTGTGGCTGAGGTGCACATGGCTCTGAACAACCAGGCCACCGGGCTCCTGGTAGGTCCCCTGAGGGGCGCCGCCTGAGGTAAAGCAGACAGGGTGGGCCTGGTGGGGTGAGAGGCATGATGATAGCCAAACCCCCTTTGGGTTTCTGAGGTGGTAAATCTTTACAGAAGTAGATAGCCCTGTCTTCCTTCTGTGGAGTGGCTGTTGGGTTTGAACCGCCAGCCCTCTGGTTAGCAGTCAAATGCCTTAGGCACTGCCCCACCAGAGTTCCTTTGAGGAGTGATCAGCCTGGGAGCTAGATCATAGCCAGCAGGCTGATGGGTGGGTGACCTGGGCTGGGAACCTGGGAGGATGCTAGGTGGCCGTCCTGTGACTCCCTGGTGGGCCACCAACTCCTTGATGAGGGTCACAGGAGGGCAGAAATGGAAGACCCATTACCCCCACCCCACCCCAGAACCTCAAGAAGGACATCCGGGGCGTGCTGGCACAGATGGAAGACATTCAGCTGGAAATTCTGGGGTGACGTGCGGGCCTCGGGGCCCCAGGGCTGGGCCAGGATGGGGGCAGGTGTCCGGTCAGAATGGGGTGGACCAGTTCCTGACCACCCCAGTTCTGTAGCATCAACAAGGGGGGAGCCAGGCTAGGGGGGGCACAGGGCCCTGACAGTGCGGCCCCCCAGGGAGCGTGCCCAGAGCCATCCCCAGGCTAGCAAAGAAGAGCGGTTGGCATGCACAGTGGTAAGCCCCCACCTGTCTTTGCCTCGAGACCTGACCCCGCCCTGGAAGCACCATGAGGGAGGGACCTCACTGGAAGGGGAGAAATGGGCTTGAGCCCCAAGAGGGGCCCCTGAGGAAGCAGAGCCGTTCTAGTGCCCATCCTGGTGGCAGGGGGCGGGAATCGGGGGCACTACACAGCTGGGCCCAGCCTCCTGCCTTGACCGGCGCTGGAGTCTCGTCCTTCCTATGCCCTCAGCATTACCCCTCCACCCCGAGGCAGTCTCTGGGCCGGCCCCTGCCCCAGCACAAGTCAAAGCCACAGGTGGGCTGTTTGGAGGGCTTCAAAGGCCAGCTCCGGTAGGTCACTGTGAAGGCAGAGCCTGTTTCCCCCACCACCTCGTGGGTGCCCCACCCCTACTCCCTGACCACCACTGCCCACAGGCTGCTGGCCTTGAGGCTGCTGCTGGGCGCCCTGCTGGCCTGCGTCACCGCCTACGTGTACGTGGTGGACCCGGTGCCCTTCGAGGGGCTGGTGCCACCCCTGCTGAGCCGCGCCACTGTCTGGAAGCTCCGGTCCCTGCTGGGCCCTTTCCTGCGCCTCGAGGTGGATGACTTCCTGCCCTTCTAGGCTGGAGGCAGGTGGCCCCAGCGAGGAGGAGGCTGTGGGCCGGTGCTGCCCTGGGTGCCGAGTCGCTGCTCCTGCCCCGGCCCATGGCCACGCCGTGGCCCTACCAGAAGCCGAGGAGGAGGAGGATGGAGGCAGGGTCTGTCCTGAGGGCTGGGCCTGTGGCCGGACATACAGTCGTGACACTAGAAGTTTGTGAGCATGTTTCCATGGAGATGGGGGTGGGGGCAGGTGGTCTGATGCCTCCTAAGATGTACGTAGGTCTCACGGTGTGGGTCTCTCATTGGCACCCCGTCCCAGCCCCCTTGGTGAGGGTGGGCTCCTCTGGCAGGCAGGGATAATGGGCTCTGGGCTGGGGGGCGGGCAGGAGGGTCTATGCTGAACAGCAGTTGCGCAAAGAGGGCCTCAGGCAGAGAGAATGACGGGGCAAGCCCTCCCACGTGACTTGAGGAATCGATTCTCAGCACCTGATCCTGCTGACCTACGACCTTGCGCTCTTCAGGTAGCCCCCTGGCCTTGCCCCGCCCTCCTGACACTGCCCCTCAAGTTTCTATTCCCCTTCCCCAACCTGAGTCTCCGTTCAGCCCCGCCTCCTGGCACTGTCCAAAGCCTCAGATGATGGGGGCCCATGTTGGTGGACAGAGCCATGGAGGTTAAGCACTAAAATTTTTATTTGGGGAGATGAATGCTCTTTAGAACAATGTGGAACAACAGCTTTGTAGTTTGCTCATCCCAAAATGGGAGAAACAGAGTTAACTGCCCCGGGGTGGACTTGGGCCCAGCCTCGGTAGGCGCCTCCTGGGACTCTGCGTACCATCCCGCCCTGGCAGCCCAGGGGACTCTGCCAGGCTGTGGACCACAGGGCACTCTGAGCCCCTCCGACGCTTCGTCTTCAGAGTACAAGGCAGGCAGCGCGTCCACGGGGTACAGGCAGGTGGGCAAGGGGTATTGGGGCTGTGCCAGGGTCTTCTCCCAGGCTGCTGGCTCCAGGAGGTTAAGGCATCTGTTCATGTGCTGGGGTCGGGAACGCAGAGTGACCTGCGGGGCAACCTGAGACCCCCAGCCCAGCCCACAGCGACCAGGGCTCCAGGGGAGGAAGTGGTATTTGAAGTGCTGCTGGGGCAGGGCGGCTGGGTGACACGCACCCTGGGAAGGCTGTGCTGTGCCCGTCTGCTGCAAGGTGTCCCCGTGGGGGTGCTGGACCCTGGCAGCAGGTGGGGACTTCCTGAGGTGGGTGCACACAGCCTCATGGGCCCCACTGGGCTGGGAGTGGGTAAGGTGCAGCTGGTAGGTAGGAGAGGGGGGCCCCCAGCCCACACCCAGTCCTGCCCCAAGGTCTGCGGCAGCTTGGCATCCTGGGTGCTGACTGGGCCGGTCCCCAGGCCCGGAGCTGCCTACTTGGCGTCCCGCTCCGGCCACGAGAGACTGGGGAAAAGGCTGGAGGCGGCCGAGTGGAGGAGGCACACGGCCCCGCGGGGGGGTGCCCCAGGGGCCGAGCTCCAGGGGGCCCGCAGCGGGGCGTGGTCCTCATGGCGGCCAAGGTGGCACAGGTGCAGGCCAGGGGGCCCCCTGGGCTGGCCACGCCGCCCCCATCCACGGCTGCAGGCGCTGATCCGCCCCCTGCGGGCCGAGGTATCCCGTGAGAGAGAAGCAGAAAGACGGACATCAGCATGGAGCAGCGCTGCTGGCGCCAAGGTCCAAGGCCCAGGACGGCCTTTCCTGGGCTCCACACGCCCTCACGCTGGGCCCGGACC